GCTTTTTTTCCCCCCCCCCCCATCATGAAAAATCAGTCAAAATTCTTTTTGCAATAGTCCTTTGTGTGTGTGCGTGTGTTTGTATCTAGTAATCCTTCTATGTAAATTTGCATGTATATTAATGGGGAATCTTTGGCTTAATCTTGGAAGCACTCAGTACTTTTTCTTGAAAAACTGTAAGGCTGGAAGAGGATATTTAACCAGACATCTAGCAGCTGTTTAGAGATTTGAGGCAATGGAAGTTTTAATCAAAACACTCCATTCAACACTGAATTAATATTTTCTGCTTTTCCATTATACTTCATTCTATGATTTCGGTTCCTGAGGGTTGCATGTTGAAGAATTATCTTTTCTGAAGCAGATGTTACAAAAGTAGCGTAAAATTTTAGCTGGTTTAATATGTTTAAAGGATTGTTGGCTAAAGTCGTGTTAATGTGTATGAATAATATATAATCTTCTTTAACCAGTAGACCAAAAGCTGTGTCCTCTTGCTAAGTGACTTATATTCTTTGTCTTATCTATTTTTAACAAGTTCAAAGAAGTTCCCAGTGGTAGGGGAAGGGAAGATACATTGTACCTTGCAGCACAACTCAGAGAAACTCCACAAAATAAGTAATATTGTGTGTATTATAGTTAACAATTTAAGATAGTCATTGTACTGTAAATACTTCTCTTGGAGTATTTAATACAGTACATAATATGCCGATACTTTCTGCTGAATTAAGACAAAATAATGCATCATTTCTTGAATTAACAAAGGGTAAATATTCCCAGTTCCTGGAAATCAGATATTATGAAAGTCATGATTAAAAGTGCATTTTTGGAAAGGCAGTTTGAGGCTGAAGCAGTAATTGGTTCCTTGCATTAACACTAAATTTCATTACTTATTTACCAAAAGTAAAACTCCTCTACTTTACTGCTCAGCAAATCACTTAGTTAGAACCAATCCATGTTTGATTTCATCTTCCGATTTCTTCAGCCCTGCTTTTCCTCTGTTGCAAGTTTACTCTTTTTTTTTTTTTTTTGCCTTCTATGTTTCTTTAGTTGAGGAACTGGACCGTTGAAGAACTTCAAAGACGACTTGGGGCACTTGATCCCATGATGGAGCAGGAGATAGAAGAGGTTCGCCAAAGGTATCAGTCAAAGCGGCAACCAATTCTAGATGCTATTGAAGCAAAGAAAAGACGCCAGCAGAACTTCTGAGGAAAACCTGGCAGTAGAATAGATGTCCATCATTCCTAACAATAAACTGTTCTTCTATGACTACTGTGTAGGTGGATTTCTATTTGGTATCTGATCCTTCCATTTACTGTAGCACCTTTTCTAACTCAGGTATGCCATTGAATGGAGTCCTCATGAACAGATCATGCTTTGTATGAATGGTAGGTAGATTTTAGATACATTGCATGTTGCTTTTGAGAAATCTTGACTTAGCTGGTTGCTAAACTTTGTATTAGAATCTGTGAAACAGTAGGAAATGGACTTGAAGAAGGTTGGTACTCAGATTTCCAGGCAGTTTTTACAGTTCAGTTCCAAACCATATATATAAGTATATTCTGTCATGATGAATAGTACATTTCTGTGTGAAGAACCCAAGTAGACAAAACAGTAATTCTTACTTGTATACTGAGGTGGAGTATAGGAATTCAAACTTTTGCTTTTTCATGGAACTGTTAAAAGTGTTTGTGAAATCAGAGTCCTTACACACTAATCTGTTATCTAAATTGATTCAATAAAAAGTTCATCATTTTATTTGTTCATTAACTCTGATCTGTAGCAACCACTGGGTCTTAAATAACCCTTACTTTCAGCTTTGCCTTATTAGTTTAATGAGACTTTGGAAATAAGTTCAAAAAGAAAAGTGGTTCATTGGCAAGGTTACATGTCCTGCTCCAGCATTTGAAAAGGAATATGAACTTTATCTAGTCTAGAAACTTCTAAGAGCTCCATGCTTTTTGATATCCTTTTTAAAGCATTATTTCTCAGTGTTACATTTTTTTTTGCTTTTTGTTTTTACTAGGAGCATAACTCTGAATGAATGCTAATATCTTTTCAGTGATGTCTGTCATATAATGAATCTTAAACCTTCAGTATTTTTTTTTCAGACTTTCTGGTAGCAGAGGAATGTTAGTCCCCGCAGTTCAGGAAAAATTAGAATCTCTTTTGATAATAATGTTATTTAAAATAGTTAAGGAATTGTAGTCCTTTATATAATTTGCTATTTCAAGCTGAATTTGTCTAAGATTTGTGGTACTAGTTTTGAATTTAAACTGGAGTAAACTTTTCCATTTATTGAAAAAGTAAACATACCAGTTAAGATCTAAATAAAGATCTTGAGACCCAAATTAATTTCAAAATACCCTTTAGTTAAAAAACACCATGATACATCTGTGATAAAGCAGTTGCCTTCACGGAGAGATACTTTGTGTAAATCTCAAGGTTGGATTTGTACTAAGGAATGCTTATGGTGGAATGTGCCTATGGCAGCTAAGTTTCATAAAGTGTCCACAGAAATATTCCTCCTCTCCTCCCACAACATATATGAAACTATTGGAATGTAACAATCAAACTCCAAAGAGGTCTGCATTGTTATGCAGAGTTCAGAATGTGAAAAGAGACTTGAAATTCTTCGATTCTTGCAGCAGCTTCTTGTGCCTAGTACATTAATCCTCAGAGGTTCTTTTGACCTATAGAGGATGCATAGAAAGGGAATGGTTGAAGTATCATATTTGTGTATGGAAGACTGTGCCTACAACTTATAATTCTGGTGACTGTCTACAATTCATGACACTGCAGTTTGATAACTTTTCCACAGGAACAAAGATGGAAGTATATGATTGCATTCTTGCTGCTCAAGACCTGGAAACATTTGTTTTATATTTATCACACCAAATTGCAGACTGTCAAATGGGTATATGTACTGAATTTTGTATTCCCTTAGAGCAGAGCAGGGAAGAAGGATTCTGTTTAGTCCACAAATTCAAGAGATGTTTTAAACTTTAATTTCTACAACTTTGTCTATCTTCTATGAATCAAAGTCAGATGGGGAATTGTTGAGTCAGGACAGGCCCTTCTTATTTCTCAAAGAAGAATCTGATAATTTTAAGTAAGCCCATGTTCTTTTCAA